CTCAAATTGAATGTAATGCTTTAATCTTACGTAAGAAGTGGTGGTGCAAAATAAATACATAAAACAAAATCTTACTTAGTCTAACTTCGAAATTGTTTTAATTTAACGAGAGAAATTTTGCTCGCAGAGATGAAAGAAGAGTCCCTTAGTTAGTCACCTTTAATGGCTAAATATCTTGAGCAAGTTAAGTAATCTAGTTTCCAATATATAAGGATTTTGGTAGAGTTAGTTCTCAATGTTTACCACGAAATTTTATCCAAATTTTCATGTCATTTGCTTACCTGCTATTCTCTGCCAGGGCCATAATCCTTTGTCTACCTGTGATTGAAAAACAAAAAAGTTCATAGCAACAATTATCCTTTAAACGTACGTAAACAGAACAAAAATGGACACTCGTCTCAATCAACATTCAAGAAGCAGAAGGGATGGCCTAAAAAAACAGCTTACATTTTGTGACGCTGGTAAAGTGTTTTCCCCGCGAAATGCAAAAACGACGTCTGACAATTAAACGACTGCAGAAATTTCATACTGATGACGTGTCACAACCAAAGATGAAAGAAGAAAAGTAAGTTGTGTTTACTGATGGGACAAGCTATACTAACTCATACAATGTAAGGGGACGTTCGAATTGTTTCAATTGAATGCTTTACTTGTTTACTAGTTCAACCTTTTCTTAGACCAATCGAATAATAAGACAATGAGGGGGGCAATGAGCGTGACCGCAATGATGATTAAAGGTGGAGGAGCTCAGAATGATCTTCTCTGCATGGCAGTGTAGCAAATGACCTTAAACACTGGCACTAGATAGAGCGATTTTCGTATGACCTTGAAATGAAAACGCGCTAGCAAAACAGAAACAACAAACACATGGAAATAGAGCGATTTGATTGGTTTATCGAACGGATACAAATGCGCGTGGCTTTTGGTTGGTTAAACGAACGCTCGGGTGAAAAAACTTCATGTCCGAGAACTTTCTAGAAATCAACCGATACTTCGCTTTGACGTCATACTGCAACACGATTGGCCAATCGAACAATGCCTTCTCCATATTAGGGTTTTCTTTGGCGGGAAAACGAACAGGCCATGTTTTGATCTTTTCATCCATTCGCTGATAAAACAAATAACGAACTCTTACCGAAACCATTTTTTAAGGTAATACGAAAATCGCTCTGTGGAAAGCGAGGGATTTTTAGTCACCCAGGAAAAGCGAAATGTTGTCTCCAGCTTTCTTTGGCGGCTTTAGCACAGAGAGATGATTAACAATTACTTGGTGAGTTTGAACACGCTAGCGAGAATTACACAAATAGTCGTTTCAGTTACGAATTAGTAAGTAATCTTTCTTAAATAAATGTTCTCGAGGACAAAACGTTTATGTTGCGGAAAGCTTATTCAGTGAAGTACAGCGCAGTAGTTTGTTGATCATTACTGTGCATAAACGGGAAGTTAGCTATTACGGGTATTTATTATATGGCTACAATAGTACGCGCGCTCTTATTGGTTGCTGAGCGGGCAAGATTTTCTTGTAATAACCGGGAATTTCTTAAGTTTTTGCACGGTTCCACGACTCTTTTGATTTGTAAGTAATTGAAAGAAAACTACTAGCATACCGAAACTTCTTTAGTACGACCGCTAAAAAGGCCATATAATAAACAGTGGCGGATCTAGGGGAGGGGCCCGGGGGACCCGGGCCTCCCCCTTATTTTTAGACCCAAAAAAAAAATTTTTTTTCGAGACCGCCCCCCCCCCCC